TTTAGAGGCAACAAAACTAACAATCATAATCCTATGGATGCCACTTATTTTAACAATATGAAGAAAGGAAACATGATCGCAAAGTATAATATATCCTGATAGGTGAAAATGAAAAACTATGAACAACTTAAGCAATGAAAATGTTCCCTTTGGAAACGTAAATACATGATTTCCAAACTGATTCAACTTATAGTATGTCTCCCCAAAATAAGTAGTTTGAGTTGCATGGCCTGCTGAGTTGCCCTTTACATAAAACAATTACTTCATCACAATGGCTTCTGCATGGTGCTGGCCCCTTGGTGTGGGAGGGCAGGTAAGAAGCCAGTATCACTGTGGCTTTGCAGGGTGACTTGACTAACTTTTTCTCCAGTGCTCCCACCACAGCTGATTCATTCCACCAAATTCACAGTATCTCCAAATCAACATGTCGAATTTCAGGATTTCGTTTCTGCAAAGAAAAATCACCATCATGTTATTCACAAAACAAAATCTTGTGTTCTTTTCATCATTCAAATAATCTGGAAGCAAAGCCACTAAACATTTTAGTCAAATAGTTCTAAGCAAAAGGACTATTTTCATAAACAGGTGAGCAGATTATTATATGTACTAAGGCACTACAGTAAGTAGTCAGCTTTCTCTCAGACTGTTCATGTGTTCGTTAATGGACTGGAAATGGGCTTTTTTGCCATGTGGAAAAGAAAGCCAAAAGGGGAAATTGGTAATCACTTATTTTATACACTTTTTTGTTATTGTTGTGTAACATCAAGTTGGAACCAACCCACAGCTGACCTTCCAGCAGGTTTGCAAAAGCAGTAAATTGTTTGGGAGGAGACTGCCCATCTTTCTCCCACAGAACACTAACTGGTGAATTCAAATCATGTGTCTTTGCATGGGCAACCCAATTCCTTACTACTAAGGCATCAGAGTTCCCTTTAATATATTTTAGTTATAAACTATATAATCTTTGGTTAGGAACTGTGATAGAAAGTGCAGCTACAATTATTAAGGCTCTGTACTTGGCACTAGGAGACTCAAGTCTAGTCAGAGTCAGAAAGCCAAGTGCAGGAATAAGCATTGACAGGTTAAAGTTGTTGGCATGATGTGTTCCCTGCAATGCACCAATGAACGGGTCAAATCCTTCAGTCACTCTCCAGAGGAAAGATGAGGCAATCTCTTCCTATAAAGATTTAGAGCCAGTGGAGGGTGGCCACGGATCAGAACTGACTGACTTGAAGGCAGTACAGTCTAAGACAGAACAGGACCATAAGGTTTCCAAGGCTGAACTCTTTATGGAAGGAGTCTGCCACATCTTTCTCTGCCTGAGTAGAGCAACTAGCAGGTTTAAATCAACAACTTTTCAGTTTGCCACTAAGAGCTTAACTGCTGTACCACCAAGGCTCCTTACTCCTGGGCCAGATACCAAGATATATACAATAATGAACAACATAGAACAAAACAGCATTTGCCTTTGATGAACTTCTATTTAGAGGGGAAAACTACTATTAGTGGAAAGAAATTGCACTGCCAATCCAAAGGCATGCAGGCAGTTCACATCCACCAGCTTCTCTGTGGGAGACGGATTGGCAATTTTCTGTCATGTGATTAACTTTCTCTGAAAACCCACTGGAAAGTCAGCTATTGGTCAGTTCCAACTTGATGGTACTTAACAATAACACAGGATAAAACTGATACATAACAGCGCAAGGTTCAGATCCATTGTTCATAGGGTTGCTGTGAGTCGCAGGAAAACATGCTGTCAGGGACCTCTCCAGAGCACTTAAAAGCAATGATGTCAGTCTAGAGACTAAGTGTGCCTGATGCAGGCCATGGTTTTCACAATTACTTACTATGCATCAGAGAGCTGGACAATGACTAAGGATGACAGAAGAAGAATTGATGCCTGAGTTGTGGTGCTGGAAAAAGAGTCTTGAACATAACATGGAACTCCAAGAAAACAAACAGGTCTGTCTTGGAGACAATGAAATCAGGTTTCCCCTTGGAGGTTAGGATTTTGAAGCTCTGTCTCACATTCTTTGGGCATGTGCGCATGAGGAACTAGTCCTTAGAGAAGGACACCATGCTCAGAAGGGTGGAGAGACAGTACAGAAGAGAAAGATTTTAGATGAAATGGATTGATACTGTAACTGGGGCAATGGGAGTTGGTGTGTCAGAATCAGTGAGACTGGCTAAGGACAGAGCAGGCTTCAGAGATGCTATACAGGGTTGCTATGAGTTGCAGGCAACTAGAGGGCACATAACTACAAAAACAAGAAGTTGCTCCTTGGAGGCAAAGATTTTGAGGCTCCATCTCACATACTTGGGCATGTTGCCAGGAGGGACCAGTTCTTGGAGAAGAACCTCATGCTTGAAAGGATGGAGGAACACTGCAGGAGAGGAAGACCCCAGATGAGATGGACTGACAAAGCAACTGGGGTAATGGGGGTAGGTGTGTCACTGACTGTGAGATTGGCTCAGAACAGGGCAGGGTTCACAGTTATTGTGCATAGGGTTGCTATGAGTTGTAGTCATAACACATAACAACAATGGTATTATTTAAGGTGCTCTGGTGAGGTAGTGTATACATGTTACACTACTAACAAAAAGGTCAGTGGTTCAAATCCATCAGTTGTTCTATGAAAAATGGATATTCTCCTCCTGTAAAAATTTGTATCAGAAACCTGATGGAGGGTGGCCATCAGTCAGAATCAACTCGGTAGTGGGTTTGACATTGTTTCGTTTCAGGTGACATTAGGGTTGCAAAGTGTTTAGAAAAACATTTAACTCAATTTTCAAGGGGAATTCAAGTGTAACAGAATATAATATGATAGACTGTGTATAGGAGAGATGCTAATCTATTCCTGTCAAAGATGAAGTCAATAATATTTTAAAAATAAATCAGAAGAGTAGCATAAGCATTTTATACAGAAATAAGGTAATAAATACAAAAGTAGTACTAACAAGGTAAAGGAAACAAGGTAAAGGAAAGCATTTGGAAGAGTTTGGCAGGTGATTTCTGTTACAAGCTTTTCAGTTCTAACATTATAATTTTGTTTTATTTTGGTAAAAATAGTCAATAAATAAAGAAAAACGTTTCTTTAAGTGATTCTGGTAACAAGTAGTACAAATAATGCCTACCTTAAAAATTAATTAATATCCTAGGAACATATGCATATTTTTCACATTAAAGGAATTGTCATAAAACCAAAATCTAGTAAAATACTAGCATTCACCTTAAGCCAGAACATTCTATTCAATGTACAATCATAATTTTCTTATAACCACTGCTGTTCATATATTAACCTGGAGAAATTCTGCTCTGAGATCCTAATGTAAGAGTGACCAGCTCTTTCCCCTGCCATCCAAATGAGAGGATATACAACTGTTTGCAACTTTTTTTTTTGTTCGCAACTTTTTAATGCAAACTATTCCCTATGTGTTAAGGGGAAAAAACAAGAGCACAGTTGTTATCAAGCTGATGGCTAACCCATGCATATTTCAACTAGAACTGTGTTCACAGGGTTTCTTCCAATAGCTAATCTTTTAAAAACTATCACCAGGACGTTCTCCCAAGGCACATCTGGGGAGAATCTACTTTTCCAATATTTCAGTCAAACATCTGCACCACCCAGAAACTATATTTCCCAATGTCCATTGTTAACTGCCACTGAGTCTGTCCAGACTGTGTCAAGCCCACACACGAGAGAACAAAATGCTTCTTGGTGCTATGCTACCACAAGACCAGCTGCAGAATGGGCGGCTATCACTTTCTTCTAGTCAGTTACAGTCTGGAATCTGTTCAAACATCACAGAAAAACCCCTGCCTGCAATGCCAACAGGTGGTGGCTGTGCGTGAGGTACACTCCATGTCTCCAACACGGAAAGTCAGGAGTCTATTACCAAACCATTAAGAAAGATGGCTGCTATTTTTCTTTAAGGCATGCCGTTAGTATCCACCGTCTGTTCTGCAGGAGAAAGATGGGCAACCCACATGATCCACTGACGCTGAAAATCTGCTAGAGGGTCACCCAAGAATTGATTCTGACTTGACAGTACACAGCAACAATTTTTCCTTAAAACTAAAGTGAGAATCTAAGCTGGGGAGGGGAGAAGGGTGAGGATTGGGGATTTAATCACAGGGCTGCACATCTGATAGATGGGTGGAGGGAGTGGAAAGATCCAATGTAAAAAACAATTTACAGGAACATTCTAAGTAAACTAGTATAAAATAAAAATTTTATTTTAAAAAATCAACTAAAAAGTATTTTAAAATTTAACTGCTTCTATTAAATAGTAAAGAAAAAAAAAGATTTAACTTAGAAGTTTGATGCTTTCCATCCCAGGGAGATAAAAAAATAGACAAAATGAAAAAGCTAAGTTTATCCATTAGCATTTCATTCTGCACAACAATTATTATCCTCTCTCAAAGTATCTATTAACAGTAGGTCTCAAAACCTGGTCCATATGGGGTCCCTGTAACCTTTTCAGGAGCTGTTCCAGGCAAAAACTATTTTCATAATAACATGAAAATGTGATTTGCCTTAGTAACTATGCTGACATTCCTCTGTCAGTGTAAAAACAAGGTAAAACTGTTGGCATTTCTATACAAATCAAGGCAAATGGCACCGAACTATACTCAAAAGTCATGGCCACACCTAAATCCACTGCCGCTGAGTAGGTTCTGACTCACCACTACCCTCCATTGAGATCCCAAGGCTATAAATGCTGACAGGAGGAGACTGCCCAGTGGCTGTGACCTGCTCACCTTTTATTTATTTATTTTTTTTAAATCCACAGGCTGACACTACGCCATCAGAGCTCACTGGCACACACACATTCAAAAAAAAGGGAGGGAAGCAAGCTAGTTTCACTTTAAACTGTCCTTCATGAAGCAGGAGAACACATTGATTTTACTGAAATAGGAAGTACTCTGAAAGCACTCCTGCTGTCTGCTCAAGTATGATGTTGTCACAAAGAAAAACACTTCTGTGACCAAGTGGAGAGCTTCATCAGAGGCCTTACCTACTCTTTTGAACACTGTATTCTTACTTGAAAGAATAACTAACAAACTCTAGTTATTTAAATTTGGATATCTGCAGATGTATTCTCAAAAATAAATAAAATGTTCATGTTATTTCAAGGAAAACCATTAACAGTATTTGATGCTAACAAAAAGTTCAATTTTTCAAGTGAAAATCAGGATGTGGAAGATTTCTATGATCCTTATGGTCTCCAAATATACAGAAATATATGTTGTTGTTGTTGTTATGTGCCGTCGAGTCATTTGCGACCATAGCGACCCTATGTACAACAGCCCTAAACCGTGCTCTAGCGACCCTATGTACAACAGCCCTAAACCGTGCTCTATCCCAT